ACAAAATAATAGAACAGCATTCCTGGTCACACCTCTTAAATTTAAATCATTTGCAGTGTGATACAAATGTCCAGATTTTTTTACAACACTGCTTCTCATCTGTTTAGAAAATTCAGTTAAAGTCAGGAATCATCTAAACTATAAGATGATTTTTATGTTCTCATAACCATAAACATTCCAAATTTTAGAGTTTCAAAAAATATTTGTATGCAAAAGATACAAAAAAATTTTCCAATTTTCTCAGGGAACAATTTTGTTTAAGTAAAGATTTTAGTAGCCAGTCATTTTTTAAAATGTGTTTTCCCTCCTCTCATCATTATATTCCACCAGTTAAATACCACCAATTCTTCCCACCGTTTATATCCTTCCCTACATTTCCTTGTCATCACTATGATTCTCCTGTACCCTTTCTTTTGCTATAGGGTTAGTTTGGTAAGTGATCTATTTAGTTTTAATTTCTAGCCTCTATAATCTAATACTGTCTTTGCCATAACCATACCTTCTCCAAGACAGCTTGGCTTCTGCCACTACTGGGCTTTGAAACTGTGCATTGCTGTTATTTAGAGGATAGAGTCCAATCCTTGCTTTGTATCTGATATCCTGAATAAACTGACTCTAACCTCGCATTTCAGCCTCCTTTCCTGATTTCCTTCCTTTCTTTAAATCCCTTCTGGGAGCCTGACACTCTCAGCTCATTTTACCCTACACATTAAATCCTGTATATAAAATGATCTTATTAATTTAGATTTTATTAAGAGCATCTTTCTTTTTTATTTTTAAACTTATCTATTATTTAAATGTGGAGGTGTTCCACATAGAGATCATGGTCAAACAATTGAAAGACATATTTCAGTGCAAAAATAAAAGCACACAAGACAGCATTAAAGTCTGATGCACTGCATGAGAAGCCTGATCACCTTCACGACTTGTTATTTGAAGTAATGATTAAAGTCCTAATGTCGGTGATTTCCTAATGTCATACGTCTGGAATGTTCTGGGCCCCTTGCTGAGTATCCCACAAACATCAGCATATTTCATCTTCTTAAAAATTTCCAGAGTAGGCATTATTTTCTTGTGGAGACAACCTGGAGGTCTTCAGTTGAGTAATGACAGCACCTAAGCGGAAGTGAGTTTCAGAGGCATCATGTAACTGGACCACAATTCATGGGTGAGGCATCATCTGAGCCTGTGTTAACACAGATGAGTGAGCTAAGCAGAGGGGAAGGAAAAGAAAAGAGAAGCAAAGAGTTGGTTATCAGAAATCATGTCTGTGAGTTGCCAATTGGATAAAGAGTATCCCTCTAGTGTTGATGGTTCTCCCCCTTTAGGAATTATTGACATCAGCATGTGATTGGAATTGATTCTAGGAACATAGAAAAGAGAATACCAGGCAACAAAGCCTGTAGGAGAGAGAGAAACCCCAATGTGTTCATTTCATTTTTCATTTCATTTCATCATCCTGTTATTCGTCGAGCAGGCCCCAGTAACGTCTCTTTCATCCTAGCCCTGAGATTATATTCAAGGCTCTTTAGGAGAATGAGACCCATCATTGTTACTGGTATTTGGCATATTTGGTACGCCACGGGGAGTTTGCCAGACTCTGCCCTGTGGGCAGGCTACATTCGATAGCCTGCAAGTTTGTCCAAAGTAGGAATGAGATAATAAGATGTCATAAAAAGATGTCCTGATAAGATGTGGCGATGCCGGCCGTTGATGGGATTACACGGCGCCAGGGGGCCAGGTGGTGGGTGTGACCCCCGCCTACTGGAATTTGGAGGATCTGGGTGGAGGATGCTTGACTCCAATCCGAGTGGGCTTGGAGATCTCGGCCCCGGAACCCGCGTGGCTTTGTCCCTCTGCCAGTACCTTCATGTGTGCGGAGAGTGGTCTCAGCATGGTGGTGGCTGGTCCTGGAGGTCTTCGGCTGCCGGAGCCCTGGTCGGGGTGGGGGCAGAAGACTGCCAATGTGTTCAGTTTTAAGAATTTAAGTAGAAATTCTTGAAGACAAAGCCTTGATAAGAACTACTTGGGGTTAGTAACAAAATACTGTACATGGTCAAAAACAGTCAAAATTTACTCAAATTGAGCCTGTCACAGACACCTTGAAGGTACTAACATTCACAGAACCTTGTAGAGTAGATGAATTGCATCCGTCAGTGAAAGCGTTAGAGCCCACTTGATGTTCTTTTTTTTTTTTTTTCTTTTTGGGTCACATCTGGTGATGCACTGCAGTTACTCCTGGCTCACGCACTCAGGAATTACTCCTGGCGGTGCTCAGGGGATCATATGGAATGCTGGTAGTTGAACCGAACCCTGGTCGGCCACGTGCAAGTCAAATGTCCTACCTGCTGTGCTATCACTCCAGCACCCTATTTGATATTCTTCTTCTTTTTTTTTTCCTTTTTGGGTCATACCTGGCGATGCACAGGGATTACTCTTGGCTTTTCACTCAGGAATCACTCCTGGCGGTGCTCAGGGGATCATATGGGATGCTGGGATTTGAACCCGTGTCGGCCGCGTGCAAGGCAAACGCCCTACCCGCCGTGCTATTGCTCCAGCCCCCACTTGATATTCTTGTGGGTTTATTAAGTGTTCTCCACATTGTCTCATTTGTTGTTCTGAGACTCTTTTGGAAGTTGCAGCCTGATCACATAACGAACAGTTCACATAATCTGTAGAAAACCAGACCTTTACTAAAAATGATTAAGGCGGCATGCTCAGATCTTCCTGGCAAAGCTAGATTCCCCATCTTAGAAAATCCTGGCGAAACCAGACCGTCTGGGCTGGTTACGTAACTCACACAGCAAGGAATGAGCTGCGGTTCACCACACACTACTCTTGGCAAGGTACAAAAGCAAAAGCATTTTCATTGCTTTGCCTGCACACTTGCTTTTTCAGTCTCACCCTCTCCCTCTCCTTCTCCCTTTCTCTCTCCCTCTCCCTCTCTCCCTCTCTCTCTTTTTCTCTCCCTCTCTATCTCTATCTCATTCACACACTTTAAAATTACTTGCCATCCCAATGATAGTCAAGCTGAATAGTGTGTGTGTGTGTGTGTGTGTGTGTGTGTGTGTGTGTGTGTAAAGGCCATCTTTTCCTGTTATTTCCCAGAACCCCCGAATGGCAGTATCTGTTTTGGTAATTCGGTAGCTTTCAACTAGCTAAATAGATTTAATAGATTTAAATAGATTTAAAGAAACAAGCATTGATTAGCAGTTAAGGTCCTCCCTGAAAACAGATGACATACTCAGATTTGGTCACTTGAAAAGAGTTGGTTAAAGGTCTATTTATAACATTGTGGGTGAATTCCAGGGAAGATCCAAGGGCTAGTGCAACATTCCTGGGGTCACTAGCAGCGGGGCTCATTATCAAACCCAGACATGCAGAGAGGGAGAGCAGTCAGGGAAATCGACTCAGCTTCAAAGGAGAGTGTTGTATGGAGAAGCTCTGTTGGCAGGAGCCTAACCTTTAGCAGAGACACAGCCCGAGGTACGACTTTCTGAGAGATTTGCGTCCACATCTGGCTGCATTCCCCATTGATCAACCCCAACCAGGAGTTAGAGAGTGGGAGAGCCGATCTAAAGAGGGCAGACCACACAACTCAGAACAACCCAGATATGGTTCTGGGTAGAGCATATGACCAAAGAAGCAGATACATGAACTCATGTCACATGGCATCAGGAAGATAAATAGGGTCTTTAGCTGAGAAGCTGGAGGTGCAGTCCTGGAAGGAGAAGCATCCAGAACAGACATTAGTGCTATGGCTAAGACCATAGCATCGGAAATTCTGTTAACTTCTCACTGACCCTTGTTTTCCTAATCTGTTCTCTCCACTTCTTTCCTGGTGACAATCTTGACTTTTTCTCCTTAAGCATGAAATTAACCAATGATTTATAAGGTAAAGGTAAAGGTAAAGGCCCTCCCGTTGATCGTCGATTTGCTCGAGCGGGCCCAGTAACGTCTCCATTGGAGACTTTGTTGTTACTGTGTCTGGCATATCGAATACTCTCGGTAGCTTGCCGGGCTCTCCGAGAGGGGCGGAGGAATCGAACTCGGGTCGGCCATGTTGGCCGCTTGTAAGGCAAACGCCCTACCCGCTGTGCTATCGCTCCAGCCCTATGAGTAATGATTTATATACACGGGATTTTACATTTTCTATCACTGCTTGCCCATGATTCTTACCTTGTTCATCCTTTTCGCCCACTCCACCCACTCCACCCACTCTGCCTTTTGGCCAAGCCTCCCTGGAGAGAAAGAAAAATCTAAAAGACGGATGATATCTGGAGGGGTCTGCCCTAGAATCAGAAACTACCCAGACGCATCAAGATTAGAACGTTTCGAAAAATACCATATACTTGTGTCATATATTTATTTTATGCTGGTTTATAGTCTATTAGTAATAAAAATTAATCCCAGAGACATTATGACCTGGTTTGTAAATGGTGAGCAGCATGCATGCAAAACTCCAGAAACATGTACCAGCGATCGTTACTTTTTTCAGACCTCAGGGAGATGTTTAGGAGACTTTATAAAAATAGTGACAATGCAAGAGAGAGCCTGGTTGGCCGATGCAGATGAAAGGATAATGGTGTAGGGTAGGGCTGGGAAGATTACTCATGGAGCTGAAGCACCTGCTTTGCGTGTAGGAGGCCCAGGTTCTATGTTTGGGTGTGATCCAGCCCCATGAAGGCAACACCCTGGCCCTTCCAGCTTCCTGAATCTGCAAAGAGCAAGGAGACATTTCGTTATGCCATTCTGGGCCTCCTCCACGCTCCCTGCCTCTCTCTGCTTTGTCTTTCTGTGTCCTGAGCTTGCTCCATCTGGTTCTTGTGCTCCTGCGTCTCCTCCTCAAACATTGAACTCAGAGCAGTTCAGCAATAGGCTTGTGTCCAGAATTGCACCAGCTGGATAAAGCCTGAGAAGCCCGCTCTCTGGGAAAGCAACAGGCGAAGTTAGGTGTTTGTTTGAGGTGGAGCCGAGCCTGATCTCTGTGTTTTGTGCAGGACGGGCTGACCCCTCTTCACTGCGCTGCTCGAAGTGGCCACGACCAAGTGGTGGAACTGCTGCTGGAGCGAGGCGCTCCCCTGCTGGCAAGGACAAAGGTGAGTCATTCTGTGGTAGGTGGGCCAAGAGAACTCTGGGAGGCCCCCCAGAGATCATCCCTGTACTTCACGGGAAGAAGACTGCAGTCACGCATGTTCTTGCCATCTCATATTTGTGTTCTGAGCATGAACGCTATCTACCAAAGATTTTTTTTTTTTGCTTTTTTTTGGGTCGCTGATGGGATTACATGGCGCCGGAGGTCAGTTGGTGGGTGTGACCCCTGCATACTGGAAGATGGAGGATCTGGGTGGAGGATGCTCAGCCCGGATCCAAGCAGGCTTGGAGATCTCAGCCCCGGGAGCCACATGCTTTTGTTCCTCTACCAATACCTTCATGTGTGTGGAGAGTGGTCTCAGCATACCCAGTGATGCTCAAGGGTTACTCCTGGCTCTGCACTCAGGAATTACTCCTTGAGGGTGCTTGGGGGACTACATGGGATGCTGGGGATTAGAACTCAGGTCAGCCACATGCTAGGCAAACACCTTACCCACTGTCCTATTGCTCCGGCCCATACTAAACGTTTGAGAGGCTTTAAAACTGGGGCCTGGGAGATAGTACTGAGACCATGGCACCTGCCTTGCATCCTGCCCACCCTGGTTTGAATTCTACACCAAATATGGTTCCCTGAGCACCACCAGAAGTGATGAGCCTGGAGCACAGAGCTAAGAGTAAGTCCTGAACACCTCCCGGGATCGCTCCTGAGCACGGAGCCAGGAATAGCCCCCTGAGTACTGCTGGGTGGGACCCTGAACAAACAAACAAATTTGAAAAAAGAATTTAAAATTAACAAGTGCAGGTATTTAGATGTAGTGAATGGGCACCCTCAGTTTCTCCAATTTTATTTGGTATTCTTACAGCAGATGGAAATTTGAATATCTGTAGTAGGTCATGAGATAATTAACTGTAAGTGAAAAATCTCTCTCATATTTTATGAGTCTCCGTTTCTGAAATACTTAGGAGTGGCTAATCAGACACATACAAGATGATCTTTTTAAGCAGTACAATTAGTAGGACAAGCTAAATCCTTTTGCTCTTCAGTCTATATCCTGCCTTGAATGCAGATGTATTCCATCACTCATTCATGCCTGTGTGATCCAGCTATCATAGTGTGGAGCTACATCACGCCTGACTGTACTATGGTTCCTAATGGGCTGTAGAGTTAGGTAATACACAACCTTTATCTTCACAGAAAGTAAGAGGTAAAATAGACAAGAAGACAATGATGGAAAGTAGAAGTTATATAGAGAGTCAGGTAGAAAACGAGCCAGATTGGGGACCGGAGTGATAGAAAGTAGTTAGGGCAAATGGCCAACTTGGGTTCAATCCTCAGCATCCCATATGCTCCCTCAAGCACCACCAGGAGTAATTCCTGAGCACAGAGCCAGAAGTAAGCCCTGAGCAATGCTGGGTGTGGCCCAAAAGCCAAAAAAAGAAAAGAAAAAATGAATCATATTGGCACTAGGTGTTACCATGGTAAAGAACCCCATTTCAGACTATTCTCCTTCCCTCTCCAAAATAACAACCAGTTTGGAATCAGCCTTTCTCTCTCCTTCAAGCCAATATCCTTCTTCCCAGTGAATTTCTTCATGTGCATAGTAGAATAGGTTGACTTATTTCACCTGTAAAAGTGAGGCTCTTAAGAATGACCAGCGAATCCCTTTTGCTCTCTTCTGTCGCTGCTTCTGTCACTGACAATTAAGGCTCAAGCAGTGCAGGGAGCATAGATGAGCACGGCTGAGATGGACTTAGTTTCCTGGGCCCCCCACATCTACACTGGTTCCATGCTCTGCTCTTCCTCCCCAGGCCGTACCCTCCCATCCAAGTCAGGCCTCATAATAGGCCGGGGGAAAGACTCAGACTTCTAGAACCTTGTGGATCTAGGCAAGAATCCCCCCCTTCCCTTCCTCTCCCATTTTCTCCTCTCCCACCTCCTCCCTTTTTGCGTGGAAGTTAGGAAATGCTGCTGAGAAAGGAGTAGGTTACTCTGTGCAGAACTGGGTGCCTAGAGAACCATCTGCTCTGTCCATCAGCAGCAGCCCTGGACATGGAGGGGTCCGACCGCATTGCCTTTCAGCCTTGGATCCTTGTTTCCATTCGCTTTGTTTTTGCCCCATCACTTGGATTCTGAAAGAAAAGGAAACAGAGGTTGGCCTTTGTCTCTGCCAAACTGTTATGTTACTAAGTATTTGTGTGTTTTGGAAATTCTTTGCCTCCCCGCATCATCATGCTGGAGCTCAAGAGAATCTTGAGATCTCCTGACATCATGGGAACCTGCCGGCAGTGACTGATGGGGCAACTTGCTCTGGTTTTGTTTCCTTGTGCAGAATGGTCTGTCTCCGCTTCACATGGCCGCGCAAGGGGACCACGTGGAGTGTGTGAAGCACCTGTTGCAGCACAAGGCGCCTGTGGATGATGTCACCCTTGACTACCTGACAGCCCTCCATGTGGCTGCCCACTGTGGACACTACCGAGTGACCAAACTGCTGCTGGATAAGAGAGCCAATCCCAACGCCAGAGCCCTGGTAAACCTGACCCCAGAACCTCTGTGCTGATGGCCACCAGCAAGCCCACACTGATTGGCTGAAGGGGCAGTGCACGGTCACAGTTGCCCAGTGCATCCCACTAATTCTGGTGATCACCGCCCCACCTAAACTTCACCACATGCTGTCACGCCGTGTCATGGATGGAGAGTGAGGAGACAGTTGCTATTTGCAGATAGATCTGAAAGTCCTAGGGTGGTCAGCAGTTTTACAGGGACAATAGAACAGGACCCGGTGGAAAGGATAACACTCACTCTAGAGATCTGTCAGCCTGAAGGTGGGAGAAAGTTTGGACTTTGTTGATCCCTTTTCAGAAGAGAAGGCTTGAACATAGTGAAAGATATCCAACTCTGAACAAGAGTGTAAAACAGAATCTTGTGAAGAGTCCATTTACTTGTGGATTGTCCTGTGTAAAATTCCAGGTTCCTCAGCCCCAGGATCAGAGAATGAAGAAATCTAGTACCTTTTGTTTGTATTGATATAGGAATAGAAAATGTGAATAGAAATAGAAAATATTCCAGGAATTGCTCAAGAGAAGCCCGTGAGAGGCTTCCCCAAGATCCTTCTGTCCAGTATCTAATGCTGAATAAATCTTCCTTGCTTCACTTATATTTTAACAAGAAAAATTAGAAAGATTAGGCATGCACTAATTCATGCCTTTTATTTCCTGCTTCTCAAACTAAAAGCAAATCTTTTCTATAGGTTTATGTGGTTTATTCCAGTTAAGGGGTCTTTAGACCATCAATAATTATAATGAGAGAATGTCAATAGCTTGTTTCCCTTAGAATAAGTTATTCTTAATTATCTAGGGATAGCTGGTGTTTTAGAGCTATAAATTAGGGCATTTTTTTCTCTTAAGGAGGAAAATACTCATTTTCTACAGCATGGTGGTTGGTAAGCTTATTCTAAAATACCCCTACCTAACCACATCCAGTCTTTAAGGCACTGCATATACATGTGATTATTTTGGTCTGGCTTAGTACACAGCTCAAACATTGTAATGACTTAATTTGTGAAAATTAGTAAGTCGTTGGGTTAAGAAAGAAGTCACTGAGCCCTTTCTGAGTACTGCAGGTATAGAAAAATATTGATTTATCATAGTTCCCAATGGTACAAATTGTTGACTGGAAGAATAGATTATAAAATTATTCTGATATAGGGATTTCTATTAAAATAAAATATAATACTTAAATATGACACAACAGGAGTATACATAAGGCTAACTTACAAATATTTGTGTGGTTTTCTCCACTTATAGCACATTTGTCTAATCACGTAGAAAGTGACCAAGTCCATTCAAGACCTTATCTGCCTTTTACTGAGAAATAGCTCTCTCTGGTTTCTCCAGAAATTCCCCCTACTATTCTTCAAAATATTCAGGGACCTCATACTCACTTCTTTGTCAAGTGAGAATTGGACTATATCATTAAAAACCTTTTAATATAAAAAAGATGACATCTGGGTAAAAAATATAAATACGATGACTTCTGTTAATATACAACTCATAAACTTTCCTAAAATAAGAATTGGAACATGTAAGTTATCAACATAGATCATGAGCTTAGCTCATTTGCAACAGTCCCCTCTCCCACCCCCAAGAAAATGGTAATGATATGTGAAACACACAGAGACAGTTTTTTAGCACTCAGAAGTAAATCAGTCAAATGTTTTTCATGTTCTGAGAAACGATCCTTCATGAAAACAGTGCCTGTTTATCTTTCCTCTATCTTGCAAGTCATTTTGTCACCTGAACGGTTGGTAGATCTGCAAATATCCATCCAGGGATATCCAATTCTGAAGGGGTTATTGCCCTTCGTGTCCCTTCTTTTGGCAACAGGCCTCTGTAGTTCTCTTTCATTTTCTGTGTCACCACCCAAACAGCACCAACACACAGGCAAATCCCAGTCTAGTGAGTCCTAGGCCTCCCAGAACACACACACCTGCCTGTTCTCCACAAATCCCGGCGCCTGGAAGAAGTGGTGACATGACGTGACGACGTGACATGATTGCCTGCCATGTGCCCGCATGGAGTTGTGTGGCAACCAGTGTGTTTCTGCATGTTTTCGACTAACTTGATTGTCTTTTGCACAGAATGGTTTTACTCCACTGCACATTGCCTGCAAGAAAAACCGCATCAAAGTGATGGAACTGCTGGTGAAATATGGGGCTTCAATCCAAGCTATAACCGAGGTAGAACCCAATAATGTCTCAGCTTGCCACGACACATTCCTGCTCTCACTCCTTCCTCCCCTTCCTCTCATCCATCCTCTGTCCTCTTCACTCAAGTTTTATTTCTCGGAAGAAGCCCCCAAGGCCCCCACCGGTGCAGGGGAGTAAAACTGCTGTTGCTTTGTTCCGCAGTCTGGCCTCACACCAATACACGTGGCTGCCTTCATGGGCCACTTGAACATTGTCCTCCTTCTGCTGCAGAACGGAGCGTCTCCAGATGTCACTAACATTGTGAGTATGGCTGGGGTCAGAATAACCACAGGGAACAGGAGCGTGAGGGTGTGCACGTGCTCAGGGGTGCCTGTGTGTCTGTCCCTGAGGCCGTTGCCGGCTGTGGCCCACGACCCCGTTCCGTGGGAGGAGCAGCCCCAGCCCAGCTAGGGTGAAGATGGTGTGTGCACGTGCCACCATAGCTGTGCCATCATTGTCATCAGCTTCTTGGAGGAGTTGGCTTGCAGGTGCCTCCTTGCTTCATTGAGGAGGGCAGAATACCCCTCAGCATCAAGGAAAGCTTAGATGGAATCAAACATTGTCAGGACTCAGGAGCTGAGTGACTCGAATTCCCTACCATTTTGAAGAAAGTATCTGCCCCATAATTAGTCATATTAAAAGGTAGATCAGATAGAGACCAATATCAAGGTGTTTTTTTTCCTTAAAAAAAAAACTGAATATCTGATTCTTCTTCTTTTGACTACATGAATTTTTTTTTTAATGAATTTTCTATTTTCTAGCCTGGCTGTGATTTTATTTTGCTCACTGGAGAGATGCTCTCTCACTTGAAATAGTTTTTCTCTTGCAACTTTTTTCTCTTTTTCTTTCATTTTGTGAATGAATGTTGGTGTCCAGACAACATTCTATCAAGATATTTATTGGGCATCCCCAAATTTTCCTGCTCAACCTAAATTAGGGTTTGTACTTCTAATGTGTTTTATATCTTTCTTAGTATTTCTCTCATTTTTTTTTTTTGAGTCTGCCTCGCTTTGAACTTTGTTCTTTGACAAAGTTCTCCTAAAACCAGATTATCTTGCTAGGCACAAGAGATTTCATTTAAAGTAGACCAAAGAAATAACTTCCGAAACCAAGGGGAAGGCCTATTGTTAAGATGAGTCATATTGAGGGGGAGACATGGGAGAGATAGTACCACCAGTAAGGCATTTGCCTTGAACACCGTTAACCTGGGTTCAATCTCCAGCTCCTCATATGGTCCCCTGAGCACTGCCAGGAATGGTCCCTGAGCACTGCTGGGTGGGGGCCCCAAATCAAAAATGAAATATATGAATTATATTTTCAAAAGCAATCAATTAAGGTCTAGCTAATTTTTGGCATCTCATTCCCTCTGAGCTGTGAAACAGTGTCCAGTTTCACTCTACCTGGATTTCCTCTTACAATCTCATGGCTTTCTATTTTTTGTACTGTTTCTTTGATGGAGTTTCTGATGCATGGACAAAAAAGTGCAATTTATTTGATTTTAAATATGATTTTATACACATTACTACTTACAGTGGGAGCATAGCATCTCATTTAGAAAATTAAGTATAAAGACTATGTTTATGTCTCCCCATTTACAGCACATTGCTTCTAAGATTGTATTATATGCTGGTCTTTAATTATCCCATTATGGATAAGAGGATGCTCATAGCATGGCTGTCTGAATTCAATTTTGAGTCACTTCTTAGAACTTTAAAAGACACCAACACCATACTTTGGTTTTGGTTTAGAGATGACCAATATCCAGTTTTGTTTTGTTTTTTTAATTAAGACTCAAGAAGAGCACCTCTAGACATTCCTACTATCCTTTCTTATCATTTTTTTTCCATTATGGGCCTATAAGATCACAGGCAAAACATAAAATTAAGTTATCATGTTATTGTAATAATATATACAAGTATACTCTGATATGCTGGGTTGAAATCCCCAAGGGTTAATGTTTTTGACTGTGACTTTTGCAAAATCATTTGAAAAATCCACAAAAAGTGATAGTTGAATTATTTATTCTTAATCTAGTTCTCAAAGGACAGATTCAGACACTTGCTAGTTTCTGCTTCATCCCCAAGAGCTATGCCACTCTATGCCAAAAAAAGCATAAAATGTAGGCTGTAGGCTGATTTTCAATGGAAAATAAAGTATTCATTAAAGCAATAAAATATTCGATTTCCCTTAGATTTTTCTTAAAAAGAGTCCTGAATCTGACAGTTGGCTCCCTTAACTTTCAACTGATCTTTATTAAGCCCTTCACTTTGGTTTAATTTCTCACTTGTTCATTGCACCCTCCCACTTTTTAGCCCCTCGGCACACATACCAGAGAGGTACCTACCAGTGTAGTCCTCTCCACAACAAGCTCCCTACTTACTTTTTGTTGTTTGCTTTTATTTTTGTGGCATGTTCTTCAAGGAGAAGATCCCACATAGAGAAGGAGCTATCCAGTAATATCCAGGATCCCCAGTTCAATTTAAATTTCAGATCAATAGCCAATAGTTATTTTTTTAGCATCAGTCCATTCTGAGCAATAGTGGAGACATTTACTTAGACTAAGATAATGATTCTTTGTTTGCAGTCGGTCATTAGAATTTCACTGGCCTCCCTGTATTCTTGCTCGGTCTGGCATCTCTCCTTCTGTAGCAGTGGGTGGTGGGAACTCGGACCTTCTCGGGACAGGAGGCAAGAGTGACTGGTTCCCAGGGATCTTGTCCACACTGCCTGCTTGCTGTGTCAGAGTCGGTGGTTGCCCGTCCCCAGAGCACGCCGCTCGCCCTGCACCGCCGCCCCAAAGCCTTTGTGTGTTGCTTGGAACCCTGTTGCATTTTTTAATGCAATGCTGTGTGTTGCTTTGCTACTTTCCAACGTGGCGCAGCTGAAGTGGAAGTCAATGTAGCTGTCCGTGGAGTCAGCCCGACGGCTGGGAACCAGGCATTGGAACACAGCGCCTGCTTGGGACATGAGTGTGCTCGCTCTCTGGCCAGTCTTGTCTTCTGTCTTGAAGTTCACTCCACTTGTGCCTATAACTCAGAGCCCCCTTTCCAGAGAGCTTCCAGATGCACCTTCAGACCTAGAAAACTGAACTGCCCATCACAAGAAAGACACCCACAACCCAGAGTTCACATTGACATCACAGGAGTAGAAAGCTAGGTCCTTTGGGGCCAGCACAGAGCACAGTTGCCTGAGTATTGCCAAGTGCTCTCTTCTCCCTGCAACCGACCAGCTGGGTCTGCATTTCCTGTTATGTTGATGATTCTCTCCTATTCTAAAAGTTCATTAGCTTGAGACTTAGGAAAGCAAGGCACCCCGAAATTAAGAATTATAAGGTATTGACTAAAATAATACATACCTCCTTCTCTTTATCGGGCCAATAATTGTATGTTAACAAGGATAATAAAAATGGGAAAAAGATAGGGCAATTGAGATAAAAAAGCAGTTTGCCTAGTTGTATAAGACTTGAGCAAGACGGTTATTAAAAAGTGGAGAGACCTGGTGTATGTGTGTATATAATCCATATATAACTTCTCTCAGTATTGCACTTAATACTTAAGTTTCATATCTATCTCATCAATTCTTTTTTTTTCTATCTCAATAAGAATATTGGAAACACTGAGACTAGTTTCTGAAACATTTTTTATTCGGAAAATTAAGTTTGGATAAAACTTGGTATGTAAACTCATCATGGAGTGGGAATGCCTAGGTTCTTTTTGACTTAACTTTGCAAGAAAATTTATTGCTGACTTCATTTCTACCAAGATTGGAATCATTATGTATTTAGAACCATTATGTATTTATCTGAGCTAGAAAAGAAAGATAACATTTGGAGGTTTTGTTTGTTTTTTTAAAGGAGAGCTTTGTTTCTGCTACTTAGACACAGGTTTTTATTTACAGACAAAACAAATTAGAAATTCTGGTTGTCCAAAGAGGAAGCATATTGCAATAATATCCAACCTGAAGACAAATATTGCTTTTCTTAAAGTAGGTCTTGCTATAAAAACACAAAATGAAGACACCCGGGCATAATTGAACTACCCACAAAAAAGAACTAGGGAATTAGAATAGATGTTCAGTGTAATGCCTTGAAAACCACTTGAGAGAAATTTCTCATTCACTGAATATGGGAGAAAATGGAATTGCAAAACTAGAATTCACATGAAACCTTCTTGATTCAAGGGTTTGTTCTGCAAGGGATAAGAAGAAATTAGTCATTGGACCGACCTGTCAGGAGGAGTCAGAGACCAGAGCTAAATTTGAGCTCAGTTTAGTTTTTTTGGAAAGGTAGACTTTATTTAGCTAAAGTCAGCCACCCCCAACCATACCCTGATATCTGTGATGACTAAAGAAAATAACTTTTATTCTAATATCTTGTCCTTTCATAATTGTAGAATTCATCATTGAGAGGGTAATCCACAGTTTTCTTCAGAGCTACTGGTGTTTTCAAATAAGCTAACTTTTTTTTAAAAAAAATGATACTGCTTTACTAAGATCACAGATAGTAGGCTTCCCAATGAGAAAATTCTGTTATCTTCTTTGCTTCACTTAAGCTACCATTTCCTGATATATGTGTTTTATTTTATAATGCAGAACAAACGTATGTGAGGATGGCCTGCTGCATAGTCCTGGCCACTAGAACAGATAACCTATAACTATCACTTACCATCTCTCTTTCAGTAACTGCCTATGATTAAATATGCTCATTAATAATAGGGAATTTTGCTAAGAAAATCAAGTTCCTTGTATATTCAGTTACTGCCTTGTTTTATAACACAGAGGCAAATCAGTTGTGAAGTACTTCAGTTTGGAAGTTAATTTTGAATTTTTAGAAATGGAACAACTTATGTGGGGTACAAATGATATGATTTCTGGGGCAATGTTTGACTTGGTTTTCAGCTTCCAGCATTTCCCATTTAAATGGGATCAAGTTGTAACGTCATTGGGTGACAGTGACCTTTAGGTTTGGTTAGGGGGAGGAGTATAACTTTCCATCTCTAAAAAGAATTTAGATGATGCCATGTTGGTTATTTCCTTTAACCTCAGGGTGTCCTGGATGTTCAGGTAAGTTCTCCGGTTTGTCATAGGCATTAACATCTGTCTTCTGCTCATGATGATGGAGTGAAAGTGATACGATTTTTGAGACTCAGTAATCAAAATGATCATGCCTTTTCATAGAGCATTTAAACCTCTGGATAGATGGCCGAATTTCACAAAGAAAGCACGTGATTGTTCTTCCCCACCCGTCCTTACGATTCAATGATCTTTGTTTCTGGCAGCGTGGAGAGACTGCCCTGCACATGGCCGCCCGCGCCGGGCAGGTGGAAGTGGTCCGATGCCTCTTGAGAAATGGTGCCCTCGTGGATGCCAGAGCCAGGGTAGGTGCTGGGGCCAGGGTTCTCAGTGGCGTCTGCATGTCCCACCTTTAAGTGAGGCTGCTGTCTGCATGTTCTTACCTTGGACAGACTTGGGAAATGGCAGTACGCTTCTACTTTTAGGAAAGCATCAGTCGGATCTCAGAGAAACATCATGACTTCATGCACATGTGGGAAAGGCTTCCTATTAGGAGACGTGGACATTTGGGGAGGTGGGGGAGAATATACAATTTAGTATCTAAAAAATAAAGTGCAAACTTGCCTAAGTTTATATATGTATTATATATATATGTATATATAATCTTTTTTGGGTCACACCCAGTGATGCTCAGGGGTTATTCCTGGCTCTGAACTCAGGAATTACTACTGGCTCACTTAGGGGACCATATGGGATGCTGGGGATCGAACCCAGATGGGCCACATGCTTGGCAAACATGCTACCCGCTGTGCTATCACTCCAGCTCCATCACCTAATACTTATGACCTATAAAACCACTTTCCTGTATTTCTATTGTGTCCCTGTGTTTTAAAAGGATGCCTTTGTCATAGTTATACATATTGGCATTGATTTACTACCCAAACCAATATGATGTTCTTCACTCATTACTTGATATAAGACTTTACAGAATTACCAACATATGACATTGGCCATTCCTTTGTTTCTTTCATTTTCTGTCATTCCAGAATTAGTTCTACATTTTTATTTCTTACTCTGATTTTTATTAACTTTGACATTCTTCTGAGTTTCCACTATTCCAGATAGAAGAATTTGCATTCTGGCAATTGTGTGACCAGACTTTTCCTGGCTCTAAATAGCTTTTAATTCCCCCATGGATAGATTTATGGTCTTATTTTTTACTCCATTTTGCAATATGTTGGGTTTTTATTTGATCTATTTTGGGGCCACACCTGGCAGTCAGGACCTACTACAGGCTCTGTGCTCATGAATCACTTCGAGGGACTATTTGGGGTGCTGGGAAAGGAGCCTGGGTCAGCATCTGCAAGGCAAGTGCCCTCCCTGCTGGACTGTCTCTCCTTCCCCTCACTTTGCAGGATGTTTCTACCTTCTTCTCCTTCAATATACAAAACAGTAATTTTGGTCAATGGTGTGTGTGTTGTATTTCCTTTTCCTCACTGGTCCATTAGCTTTTACCATGATATGACTGGGCATCTCATGGAATGTTGAAACTCTTCTCCTCTGATGTCCATAAGCTATAACTCATGTAACTCATGTCTGCCCACATCATACCACATCTTAGGAGCCGTATGGTGTTGGAATAAGGGCCACTGGCTGGGATCTCACAGACTGCCATTTCACTTCTGGTATTTATTGGTAAACTCTGAGTAGACTCTGAGTAGACTCAGGAAATGCACTTGTTCCCCCATGTCAGCCTTGTGTGATTCTTTATCTTATTTGGGCTTCCCCCTCATGTACCAAAGTACAATGAGGTTCATGGGTGTGTCTCAGTGATCCCAGCCAGTGGGTATGTGTGTGTGTGTATGTGTGTGTGTGTGTGTGTGAGAGAGAGAGAGAGAGGGAGGGAGGGAGGGAGAAAGAGAGGGTGGAGGAAGGGAGGGAGGAAGGGAGGGAGAGAGAGGGAGGGAGAGAGAGAGGGAGAGATATCCAGTCCAGAAATGGTCTCACCCTGACCTTGAGCTGTCGCAACAGGCTCAGACTATCCAGAACCCTTTACTGAAATAAGTAGGATGGGAAATAAATGAATGAAGACAAACGATAGTTTAATATTAGAATTGTGCTGAGACTTTGGTAATAAGTAAAGGGATGTTGCTGGAACCAGAAATCTGCCTTAGGAACTCAGGTTTCTTTTAGTGTTCTCCCTTTTTTCTTTGTTTTTTTTTTGGGGGGGGGGCATATCTGATGGTACTCAGAGCTTACTCCTGGCTCTGCACTCAGCGATCACCCCTGGTGGTGCTCAGGGGACCCTACGGGGTGCCAGGGATCAAACCCAGGTCAGCTACAAATCCAGCAAGGCAAGTGCCCTCCCCGGTGTACTATTGCTCCGGCCCAGGAACCCTGGTTGCTGTCCAGCAACTGTGGTCAGATGGATTTTCCTCTGTGTCATTTCTCTTAGAAGTTTCCAAGAAACAATCGAGGAGATGGAGGACTTCCTGTAGACCCAAAGGCAAAGTGCTCAATCACAATAATCGCTCCTGTGTGCTGAGTTCAGGGAATGTACACTACTCCTCAGGGAATGGATTTTGCTCCACAGATTGGAAACTGGGATCTGCAATTACTCATGTCCGGGGCAGGCACAGTGCTGGGGAAGGCCCCGCTTTCTTCAGCAGCTTCCAGGAATACAGTTCCCAGGTTCCCCGGTGCCTGCCCTTCTCAGAGCTATCTGCTCTAGAGACACTCATTCTGTTGGCTCGATTTGGGGATCTGGCATTTGCTGTAGGATTGAGCAATCACAGGACTCCAGGCTTAATCCGATGGAAAGTTAGCGCTTGGAACTTTAATTCGCTGCCAGCAGCTCTGCGCCTGCAAATCCTATTGCTGCGGGTAATTAAAATAGCAGAAATTCGATCCGGTCTTTGAACCTGGGCTCACCAGCCTTTGCCATTGCTGGCTTTCAGTGGAAGAAATTAGGGCTCAGCAGTGCTCCCTGATTTGAGTTCCCTTTGCAGCAAAGAGTTACCTGGATGGGTCTTCATAGCGTCTCTGCTTTGTGGCCAGCCTGTCATTGACCAGAACCTTATCATGAGGGATTATTGTTCCTTCTATTTGCAAGGGGCTGGAGCAGTAGCACAGCAGGTAGGGAATATGCCTTGCATGTGGCCGACCCGGGTTCAATTCCTCCATCCCTCTCGGAGAGCCTGGCAAGCTACTGAGAGTATTCCACCCTCACAGCAGAGCCTGGCAAGCTCCCCATGGTGTATTTGATATGCCAAAAACAGTAACAGGAAGTCTCACGATGCAGATGTTACTGGTGCCCACTTGAGCAAATCAATGAACAATGAGAAGACAATGCTACTGTGATACTGTGCTAGGGGCTAAACAATCCCCCTGCCTTTTTTGGGCAAAAGAGCTTCCCTTGGGCTGGGAGAGATCGGAGAGAGGCTAGAGAGCTTACTTTGCATGTAGCTTATCTATATTCTCTCTGTGACACCTCAGATGGTTCACCCAACCCCATCAGGAATGATCCTAGAGCACAAAGCCGGAGTAAGCCCTCAGTGCAACTGGGTGTGGCTCCCCCTGGATATTATCTTCTGTGTTTTCTTAATTCCTTGCCTTAGCTTGAATTCACTTTTTCCAGGACATCAAATATATTATATCCAATCCAACAGAAAAATAATCACCCAAACCATGAGATCTTTTTTTTTTTAATCTGGTGACAGATGGAAAGACTTTCTTACCACATTTGTAGGCTTTTGTTTTCCACTTTCAAATAGCACTGCACCAGAGTTTAAAGCAGCTGGGTAAGACTGCTGATATCTATGTTAAAAAATAAAACAACTTAGTGCTTTGTTGACTAAGAAACAGGATAAAATCATGGACACCTTAGTGTCACCAGGCCCAAGGATGGCCAGTTTAGCTATGGAATAAGGGGCCTCCTTGCCTTTATTCCCCCTTCAGTCAGTGAAAACACATTTCAGACTACGCCACTGGCCAACTCTCATCCATCAAATTCTCCTGGGCAGAGGCCCACGAAGAAGAACCAGAAATAGCCAGTGTCTATCATGGTCATGCCTAAGTTTGAGGGGTTTTGTGCTGTTTGTTCCCCAACTGTTTTTTGTTTATTTTTCTCTCCATTGATTCATTGGTGGGAATTTCTTCCAGTTGTATTGAGAAATAATTGGTAAACATCACTGTATAAATTAAAGGCCCACAGCACGATGGTTTGATTTTCACGTATTGTGAAATAATTGCCCCCCTGGATTCAGTCAGCAGCCAGTTCCCACAGAGCTAGTGTTGCCTCCATAAAACCAAAGGGAGAGACACAGCAAAGAGGGAAAGAATGTTTCTTGTGTGGGGAAGGCTCTTCGGGATGTATCCTCCTCGATTTCTAGCTAGCCTTCTCCTGACTTCTCTTGTGTGTTGTACACTTTGTGTGAGTGTGTGTTGTTCTCCATTTGCTCCCCAGTGCCACATGGCCCCCAGCACTGGGCATAAGTGGCTCACCTGACAATAAGAATACATACAACTTGGGACCAGAGTGATAGTACAGTGGGTAGGACACTTGCCTTGCATGCAGCCAACCTGAGATCGATCCCTGGAACCCATATGGTCCTTTGAGCTTCACCAGCAGTGATCCCTGAACACAGAGCCAGGAGTAAATCCTGAGCACAGCTGGGTGTGGCTCAAACTCCCCAAATAAAAATAATAAACACATCTTATGCCTGCCCCTTAGATTCCTTATAAGGAGATGAGAAGTATGTGTCATAGATCAAACAACTTTATAAATGACTTTTTTTTTATTTTTGGGTCACACCTGGAGATGCACAGGGGTTATTCCTGGCTCTGCACTCAGAAATTACTCCTGGCAGTGCTCAGGGGACCATATAGGATGCTGGGAATCAAACCTGGGCTGGCTGCATGCAAGGCAAATACCCTAACCATTGTGCTATCACTCCAGCCCCATAAATGACAATTTTTTAAATGAAATTCCAATCCTTATATTCATTCATTAGAGTATTATTGTGTACTGTGAAATTTACCATAACTCTATTTCATCTCTTATTATTCCTTCCCTTAACAGTTGTAAGAGGTGGCATTTATCTGCACGGTGCTTCGTGACTCTGCTGTTCTTCATTCATTCTCACCCTGGCGAGCTGGCCTGGTTTCCCTGCCTTGCTTTTAGGTCCTGGCCTTAGGACAATTAAAAAGATAAAACTTGGGTCTGGAGCGATACACAGCTGTTAGAGCATTTGCCTTGCACGAGGCCTACCTAAGTTTGATTCCCAGCATCCCATATGGTCCCCAAGCACCTCCAGGAGTAATGCCTGAGTGCAGAGCCAGGAGTAACCCCTGTATATCACTGGATGTGACCCAAAAAGCGTTAAAAAAAAAAGATAAACCTTTTTTCAATATCAAGGTTACACAGGATCTCCTTTGACCCAAGAATGGTCTGACCTGGTTCTCTCTCTTTTTGGTTGTCCTTTGGTTGCTTGGTCCATTTGGGGGCCATGTTTAGTGGGGCTTAGGGTCTCCTGATTTGTTCTCAGAGGCTCCTTCCAGAAATGCTCAGGAAGTGAACCCAGGCCTCCAGCTTGCACTTGGCCCGTTGAATTATGTCCTGGCCTCTGGCCTGGCTCTCTCAAACGCTGAAATCTCGGGCCTGGCTGCAGCCCCTGGGAACCCGGCCTTACTCTCCCTCCCACCACGCCAACTCTCTCGGCTCTCCAGTGACAAGAACTGGACAGATGCTAAGACCCGCTTAGGTCGGGCCGAGAGTTCCCCATTTCCTTCCTCTCCGGACTCTTGGCTGGGAGTCACTGTTGCATCCATCGTACTTCCTGCATCTTTTCCAATCAGATTCTGGCACTTTCTTTAGTTCTAGTCTTGCCTTGGCGAAGAGGACCCGCCCAGGGTCCCCTGGGCACAGCACATGGAGCCAGAACAAAGTTTCCTCATGTCCTTGGCTCTTTTTCTCCTGGATTCAGTTTCCAGCATAAATAATGTTTCCTCAGAGCGGTTTTTTGGCCGAGGCCTGACTTCTCAGGACTCGTTGGCCTCGATTTCTTTCTTATTCAGAAAGAATCAGACCTACTCGTGGGCTCACTCCTAGTGAAGGAGAAAGAAGTGAGGACTGTACCCTTCCTCGGCAGGGAAACCTGGCCTTGTACCCATCAGACAATCCACCATTGCATACTAAGTTATGTAATTTCAGAAAACACACACACACACACACACACGCATGTACACACACACACCACACACACACACACACACGCATGCACATATATATGAGATTTTGTGACTAAATGGCTCAGCTTTAGAGCAAAAAAATAAAATAAAAAATCATGGTGAGCATAATGCTAGTTTCTCAGGGAGTCAGGGAATTCCTGGAACCCCCAAGAACGCGGACGAGAGTCCTGCATGAAGGACATTAATGGGACAAGCGAACTGGGCTGGGCCTCACTCTGCACCTGGCTTGGTTTGCAGGAGGAGCAGACACCCTTGCATATCGCCTCACGCCTGGGCAAGACGGAGATCGTGCAGCTGCTTCTCCAGCACATGGCGCACCCGGACGCGGCCACAACCAATGGCTACACACCCCTGCACATCTCCGCCCGGGAAGGCCAGGTGGATGTGGCCTCAGTGCTCCTGGAGGCCGGTGCAGCGCATTCCTTAGCCACCAAGGTAAGGGCAGCACCCCGGGGTGGTCCCTGTCGGGGCTTCTCACGGGGAGGGTCAGGAAACAGCTCCTGCCTGACTCGGGTTGGCCTCGTTCTTCTGGACGCTTTGCACCTTCTCTTCTAATTCACTTCTGGGGCATGGGAGTTTGCACAATATCCTCTGCTCTTTTCAAGTGAAGGCTGGGGTTGTCTTCAATAGAGGCATCTCGAGGAAAGAAAGAAAAGACTCCCAATACATTGAATTAGTGCTACTCACGAGGAAGAAAAAGTTACATTAGACTGACACTGCTATAGTCATTCTCAGGAGTTAGTCCCTCCCTGTGCTCAGGAATGACCCCTGGGGGGACTTGGCAATGTGCAAGGCCAGTGCCCTACTCACTGGAGCCCCTGTCTTCAGCCCCTATCAAGCATCTCAGTGCTACCTAGAGGTCTAGTGTTTCTGGACCCTGCATCCAAGCCTAGTGACTGCCCTGTTCCAGCGAGGTTTTTTTCCCCCTGGATATGCAGCATCTCAACAGAGCTAGTTTGGAGAATCACACATTATGAGCATCTAACAACAACAAAAATATACATGAGTCTGAATTTGACTTAAAGCCGTCATTTCCTGCTGGGACAGAGGAATGGGTTTTCTCCGCTTGCTCCATTCCACTTGAAATCTGCTCTTTGGGCATAACTGAAAACGAGTACACTCAGCTTCCTGGGGTAAAAGGAATGGGAAAAGGGCAGGGGAGCAGGGACCGTGAAAACCCACCGCCAGAACCATTCCAAGGGCAAACTGGTCCCCGAACGACCTTGTTTTAGACAATTCAAAGGGTATTTGCTCCTTATAAAAGGCATCAAGTATAGGGGCCTGGAGCGATAGCACAGTGGGTAGGGCATTTACCTTGTACACGCCAGACCCAGTTTTGATTCCCAGCATCCCATATGGTCCCCCGAGCACCACCAGGAGTAATTCCTGAGTTCAGAGCCAGGAGTAACCCCTGAGCATAGGTGTGACCCAAAAAGCAAAAATAAAATTAAATAAAAAGGCATCAAGCACAGCTGGGGTGGGGGCGTCCTCCTCAGTGACAGTGACCCTTTGTCCTTAGGGTTCATGTGGGCTACAACTTGTAAACTCCTCGGGATTGAACCCAGGACCTCATATTTGTGAAGCATGTGTTCTACCACTGAGCCACGTTCACGAGCCCTGTGAAACATTTGTGCTGTATAAGTTAATTAAATACTGAAAGTCAAAGAGTTGAAAAGACTTTTAAGATACTATTTTTAGGGGGCTGAAGAGAGATGCATTGATATAATAAGAGATAACATCTTGGGAGCTAGAGCAATAGCACAGCAGGTAAGGCGTTTGCCTTGCACGTGGCTGACCCAAGTTTAATTCCCAACATCCCATATGGTCCTCTGAGCACTGCCAGTAGTAATTCCTGACTGCAGAGCCAGGAGTAATCCCTGTGCATTGCCGGGTGTGACCCAAAAAGGAAAAAAACAAGAGAGATAATAGGCTGAACATATGCACTGGATGTAGGGGTCCAGGTTCAATCCCTGGCACTGCATGACCCCCAAGCACTGTCTCCAGGGACCCCAAAGCACAGAACTGGGAGTACTCTCAGAGCACTTCGGATATAGCTCAACACCACCCACCCCTCAAAAGAGAGATTGTATTTAAAACAATAGATACTGAACAATGTACATAATAATAATGATGGTGATGACAGTACCGGCAATGATATAATAGTAATAATTGGTGATTGTCTCATCAAATGAAGGTGATAAATGGAATAAGGATACACAAAATACAGAGGTAGAGGTTTAAACAATAGTATCTTTGTCTTTTAGGAGTTAATAATACCAAATGCCTTAGTAAATCAGGACAGTAAGATGGAAAAATCTATTCCACAGTCGGGCCACTGGCATTCTGAAATTAGTTGACTCATCATCATTAAAGCTGTTTCTGTGTTTATAAATATCAGAGGGTAAATGAAATCCTGTGAGATTAACATAGGAAAGAGGGGAGATGTATGACTCAAGAGACACAGTTCGACCTCAATTTTGTGACTCTACAGTAAAGATGCTTTGTCGTTTGGTCTAATAATAGTTTCCAAATTTATAAAGGGGCTGGATCCCTGTTTCAACAGGAACTTAAGGAAAAGAAATTTGTTTCACTTCCTCACTACATGATTCATTCTCAAATGGGTCACCCCACGAACCCCCCTAGTCATTGTGGGTCCTGACAGAGGGCATGGGGTTGGGGTGTTCTGACAATGGCATTTGTTTTGATGAGCTAGTGCAGAAGGAGGAGACACTGATTTTTGTCCCACACCTGGAAAAGCAGCAATAACTCTCCTCCAAGGACTTACTGTACCAAATGTTCAACAAGATGCAAAAAAAAAAAAGTGGGGGGGAGGGGCTGGAGCAATAGCACAGCGGGTAGGGTATTTGCCTTTCACGTGGCCAACCCAGGTTCAATTCCCAGCATCACATATGGTCCCCTGAGCACTTCCAGGAGTAATTCCTGAGTGCAGAGCCAGGAGTAACCCCTGTGCATAGCCAGGTGTGACCCCCCAAAAAAAGGAGAGAAAAGCATCATAGTTATAAAAATAATTTGTGTGGAGAGCTGGTGGAAAGAAATACTGCTTCTTGGGCTGGGTGGGCAGTATATGTTCTGAGTGGGGGGTTAAACATCCCAGAATAATCCACCCCTTAGTAGACCACCTACCTTGGGGGTATTTGCTGTGTGTGAGTTACAGGCTCTGGGCTGCCTCAGCTCTCTCCCACTGTGCCAGGAAAGCATGGGGTGTGGTGGGGGGGAGACTGTCTGACCCGGAGGATGGGTGTGGGGTCATGGGTGGGCCCAGTGCTCCTGAGAGTTGAGTGCAGGGGTCTGGCTGACTGGAACCCACTTTGGGTGACAGAGGTGACATGAGGTAGGCACATACAGCATCGAACCTGCACTTACCAGCACTTGGAGTGCAGTCTGAAGGAAGCTGCCCTTTGTTTCAAGACCTGGAGTTTATCAGCCCTACGTAAGGGCATGTGGACCAGAAGCCTGTGTCCAGGATGTTGGCAGGGCCTCAGGCAGGGCTGGAAAGGGACAAATGGGCAGGATACAGGATGCCTTTTGATGATGATCCTGTCAACTAGTTATTTTACTGTTTCTGCAGGAACTGCAAATGGACTGCAATATATGTTTAATATAGAATATAGAGTTAACATCTAAAATATATATACACAAAATATAGACTGCCACGACTGCTGAAATATTCCAAAACAAATTTGAAATTCTTCTGGTATTATAGAAAGGACAGATAGAGAGAGTGGGGGGCGGGGTTGGAGAGAAAATAGTAACTGTTACAATTAATCTGATTGGAGAAGCAAGAAAAAGGCTTCCTCCACCCTCTCCACCCCAACCCCATTTACAAATCCGAGTCATTTTGCAGACATCAATGCCTTAAGACATTATTAAGGCAGATACCCATGCCTTATGATGCCCCAGGCCTATAAAATCAAAAATTCTGTTTCCAGGCTGTAAAATGAAAATTTTTGGTTCATTCTGTTCAACCAAAGGCTTGTCTGGTTAATCTTCCTCTTTGTTTTGGTTATGGCTCACTGCTTTGGTACTTGCAGCATTGCTTTCCCCAGGCAGGTGTCACTGAGACGTGTGTGTCACATCCCCCAAATAACTGTGTTCCCTGTGGTGCCTTTTCTTTGCAGAAGGGTTTCACACCCCTGCACGTGGCGGCCAAGTACGGAAGCCTGGATGTGGCCAAACTTCTCCTGCAACGCCGCGCCGCCGCCGACTCAGCGGGCAAGGTAAAGGCGTCGGGCGGTAAAGTGAGTCCAGCTGTCACAAGTTGGACACTTAGGAGATTCCTACTTCAAGAGTCTTTTCCAAAAGAAGCGAAAGTGTGTTATCAAGTAACTATGCTGAGCCCTCCCCTTATTTCCCCCCCCCCCACCTCATGAAGACGTCCCCCTGATGCAAAGAGCATCTGAGCTGGGCTTTCCCCCTGATGCAAAGGGCATCCGAGCTGGGCTTTCCCCCGATGCAGAGGGCATCTGAACTGGGCTTTCCCTCCATGCAGAGAACATCCAAGCTGGGCTTTCCCTCCTGAGGCCCAGGAAGCCTCACTCACCCCTGCCCCGCACATGGAGCAATCCTAGTTAGCATTTGAAGCTCTTTTGCAGTGCACACGCATCCTCTTGCTAATAAAAGCCTTGCAAACTCAACCCAATCCTCCCGTTTTGGGAGGTGGCGGGGAGGGGGGGAAACTTCATGGAGCTTCTGATCTAAAAAATCCCTTGGTGTTTGTCCATTGCTATTTCTTAAAAACAAAGCAAACAAACAAACAGACAAACAAAAAAACTATTGACTCTATTAATGATTTAACAGGAGCGTCAGGGATGTTAGCTTGAGGGCAGCTGGCGCTAATGCATTAACCCCCACCTTAAACACACCCTTTGCAGAACGGCCTCACCCCGCTCCACGTTGCCGCGCACTATGACAACCAGAAGGTGGCGCTGCTGCTCCTGGAGAAGGGCGCTTCGCCCCACGCCACTGCCAAGGTGAGCGGCCCGGGTTACAGTAGTCACCTGGTGTGTAGGTGATGACACTCCAGCCAGTCCGCGGAGCCCTAGTGGTGCCACTGACACTGATTGTTTTTTTGCGTTTCCATCCGTTGCTTCTACAAAGGCTTTACGCTTTTTTAACAAAAGAGATGCTGCAGAGTCAGGTGCTGTGCCCAGGATCTCAGGATGGGGGAGGGGGGGAGGGGGAAGGGTTCAGCCACTGCTCTGTGTTTGAGAGGTTGTGAGTCTCCGGGGACGAAGTGGGGTCGCAGGTGATGCAAACGTTTCCTTCCCACGCGGGACACGGTGCTATCGCCCACTCTTTGTTTTGTTCCTTCCTGGAAACTTCGTGATTTTGATTGCGCTCTATGAAGGATGCCCTGTTGTTTTGATTCACTCTCCTGAACTCTGACAGACATTCTTTTTTTTCAAGGGAGAGGGTGCTCAGGGCTGACTCCTGGCTCTGCACTCAGGGATCTACTCTGGGTGGGCTCCAGGGACCCTAATGACTGCTGGAGATGGAACCCTGGTCAGCCTGGCGAATGGCAAAGCCCTTCTCCCCCTCCACCCGCTGTACTAACACTCCAGCCCAGACATTCTCTGACATGCAGCACCAGAAATGCCTCTACAACACAGACTTCCAAAACTGCCCCACTAAGACTTGTATTTGCTGTGGACAGTGTTTCCTACCAGCTCAGTTGATGGTTTGGTTTGGTTTGGTTTGGGGGTATACCCAGCAATGCTCAGGGCTGACTCCTGGCTCGACACTCAAGGATAGCTCATGCTCCTGGTGATGCTCACAGAACACATGTGATGCTGGGAACCCAGCACTGCCCACTGCATGCAGGGCCAGCTTGCATTGCCTCTGTGTGTGTGTGTGTGTGTGTGTGTGTGTGTGTGTGTGTGTGTAGACTCCAAAGAATATGCATCAATGTTTTTTTAATTTTTAAAATTTTTTAAAATTTATTTATTTGTTGAATCACTGTGGGAAAAGTTACAAAGCTTTCAGGTTTAGGTCTCAGTCATGCAAATATCAAACACATTTTCCTTTACCAATACTTATTTTTTACCATGAAGAACCCCAATAAAACCCCACCCCCCACCCCTCCCAGTCCCTGTGAGGCAGATGAATTCTAGTTAGCACTCAATCTGCTTTGATTAGATTCATTGTTTCAATAAAAGATTCGCCACTATTATTTAGAGTTTACCCCCCCCCCAAATCAGACATGCTGAAAAAGCATTGTGAAGTGATTTGCTTTCTACAGCTGGGTTCAAGAATTAAATGTTGGTTTTGGATTTCTGCTATTTTACTTATTAACCCTGGAAATATTTCTACTGAAAGTCAGATAATTAAGAGATTGGTTTCTGTGCTCTAGAGTCGTGGCCGTGCCGGAGAGCCGCTCGTGGGGGGCAACTGGTGACCTCAGTAGGGCATGAAGGGTGGACCGAGACGCCCCCCTTCCCATGAGGTTTTAGTCACCCCCACACCCCCGGCTCATACCTGCTGTCCACAAGGCTCCCATGCAGCCGCCATCTTTCTTTCCAGAGAGGAGAGGGCGAGTGGGGCAACACCCTTTCCCCTCCGGGCAGACATGATGGTCTGGATTAACGCATAGTCCGTTCACTTTTCTGCTCCAAGCTGCTGGGTTCTGCAGTATGAGCCGGGGGTGTGGGGGCGACTAAAACCTCATGGGAAGGGGGGCGTTCCGGTCCGTCCTTCACGCCCTACCGAGGTCACCAGTTGCCCCCCGCGAGCAGGCTCTCCAGCACAGCCACGGCCCCAGAAGCATCAATGTTTTATGATGCCGTGTCTTCAGTGGCGCTTTCATTTGCTTGTCCAATAACTACATAGGGAGACCATAGCAGGAGTTATTAGAAAACACGGACTGAGAGGCACAGCAAAGGGTGGGGTGCATGCTGGTTCGAGTTCAATCCACTGCACCTCTGGGTGTGGCTCCAAGGAGTCTGTGCAGCTTTGCGTAGTAGGGCTGACCCCCCACTGGTCAGACCATCCTTGCCCAACTGACTGTTGGCAGGAGTGACCCCTGCCTCCCTGCCTCCCACCCCTGTCTAAAAGGGAAGAAAGCAGTTTTGTGGGGAAACTTTCATACTCTGTCAGGTGTCACAACAAAGCAGTAACTACAGCCAGGTCAGCCCCCTGTGGCTGTGGCTGACGTTGGCTTTCTCTGCAACATGCCATTGAATCTCAGACTGACCCCCCCCCCCCCCCCACGCAGAAGGTTGTTAATGGTCTGTTCTGGCACAAATAAGAGAGGGAGAGTTAAGTCACTGTGTCACTGTCCAGAGTTGTAGGACAGATACGTGATAGGGTGGGACTAGGGTTTTCATCTCAGTGGGGCTTTTTTCACTTTTGTGTTTGGGGTCTATCCCTGGCAGTGCTCGCGGCTGACTCCTGGCTCTACACCCAGGGCTCACTCCTGGTGGGCTCCAGAATTCAGACCATGTTATAGCAACGCAGGCACTCCTGACCACGGGCCGCTGTGTTCCACGGCAGTGGAAAGGATTATTCCACTCATTGAATAGAGAATAATCCTAAGCCTATTTAAATAATGCAGACAGCAAAATGGGGTCCTCCAAAAAGTCTACTCTGCTTCACGCTGTTATTTGGGATATAAATACGCTCTTGATAATAAAATATAACTGTGACTTAGACACACAGGCATACACACACACACATTTTATTGACGTGAATAAACAGCTTAAAGTAAAATGCTGAACTGATGAAAGAGAAGGGCAGTTTTTATTTCTTCTGCTTCTCATTCTGAACCCACCGAAACATGTTCTAGACACTAGCACGAAATCTGCCTTTAATCCTGTAAGAGAATTAAGTGGTTGAGGACGAGCCCAGAACCCAGGCTTTGTCTCTCCCCGGGATGCTCTGATTCCCAGTACATTTGGATGGAAGCACGAAGGGCCACTATTTCATTGGAATTAAAAATAAAAAAAAAACCTTGGTTACTTAACATGCCCATATTTTTCTACTTTTGATTTTTGGGGGCCCAGATCTGGCAGTCCTCAGAGGTTGCTCCCAGCTTGGTTCTCAGAGGTGGCTCAGGGGCCATGTGGTCCCCCAGATTCAACCTGGGTCGCCTACCTGCAGAATATGAGCATAGGAGCTCCAGCCCCAGGCAGGATTCTTTTTTCCTTCTGGCTTTTGAGTACTCTTCAGCTGTGCTTGGAGCTTTCTCCTGGCTCTGTGTTCTGGCATCACCCCACCCCGAACCCTATGGAGTGCTGGGGATCAAACCCAGCTTGGCTGCATGCAAGGCAAGGGCCCTACCCACTGCACTACCTCTCCAGCCCCCTAGTGCTGTCGCTTCTATTGTGAATACTGGACCCCTTTGGGGTAATGTTTTGTTTTGTGTCATTCAAACGTCCTGGTTCTCCTCCCTTCCCTCTCAGACCCACCTAGTCCTTGACCTTTGACCTCACACAGGTCCCAATAAGGTGCAGGATTTGGAGGCATCGGGACTGAGGAAACCCTGGCGGGAAAACCCCCTCCTAAGCCTGCAGGCTGACACTTGTCTCAGCCCTTGGAACCCCATGCTCTGTTCTACCCTTGGCTGCTCTTCCCTTTCCCACCCCCACCCGACTTTCCCCCCGAGGAGGATCAGGCCAAGCTCTGCCAGAAATGCCCCAGGACTCTGCAGGAGAGAATCAGTCTTATAAGGGGGGGGAGGGGGCATAAACCATAACCCCCATGGGAGAGAGAGAGTAAAAGGGAATGTGCCTGCCCCAGAGGCAGAGGGTGGGGGATGGGATGGGGGTGGCAGGAGGGATACTGGGAACATTGGTGGCGGAGAATGGGCATGGGTCTGGAGTGATGGGAACTTGATCATTGATGACTGAAAGTACAAAAGTTTGTAAGTCTGTAACTGTATCTCATGGTGATTTATTTAAATATAGATAAATAATAAAGGGGAGAAGTTAAAAAGGAAAAAATAAAGAAAAATGAAAAGGAAAAAAGACTGCTATTCATACAGCGATATAGCTCAACAAATGCTAGCTCTCCTTAAACATTTAAATATGTCATTTCGATGGATTTGCAGCTTGTGTGCATACTTGATAAATAATTTTAGAACTGAATAAAAAGGGCGGGGGGAGAGCCATAGACTGAGGGAGTCGAAGGGTGGGGTTGGTGTTTGCGGCGGCCTTACAGTAGAATACTCTGCCACAGGACATTGGCTGCAGAGATCAGGGTGCTGACTGGATGGGAACGTGTGGGCTGATCATTTGGTATCACCTCAGCCCACTTGCCGCCTTTCCTGTTGACGTTGGGTGGGGGGGGGGGGTGGTTCTTTTGAGGATCCAGCATCCAGGTCGGATGCAGTGACGGGGCTGTCCTCTTGTCTGCCCATGCAGAACGGCTACACGCCTTTACACATCGCAGCCAAGAAGAACCAGATGCAGATCGCGTCCACGCTCCTGAGCTACGGCGCCGAGACCAACATCGTGACCAAGCAGGGGGTCACCCCACTGCACCTGGCCTCCCAGGAGGGCCACGCGGACATGGTCACCTTGCTTCTGGAGAAGGGGGCGAATGCCCACCTGGCCACCAAGGTACTCAGCTCGGCCTCATCCCCCCACCAGCAGGCTTTGGGTGGAGGTAGACAGAAATCGGTGCGAGGTGATCCCGGGGAGCAGGGGATGCTCGGAGGTAGGCAGTGGAGGGAGTACGTGTGTCTGCTGGAAGACAAGGACTGTCATAGGGACCGTCATGCACAGAGAAGTCAGTGGTCTGCCCGGGGCTCCCTGTGTCCTTCTTGACTCTGGTTTCACGCGCCTCTGCACGTCTCTTATCTACTTTCTCAGTTTCCCCTGACCCCCTCTTGTCCTGGCCATCCCCTATCCTGGCTACCTCCTATCCCCTCGCTGCTCTGTCTCCCCCAGGGGTCAGCATCTCTGCTGTCTTAGCACCTGCAGAGGCCAATTCCAAAGTCTAGAGGGGGGGAAAGGAGGGGTCGGAACAGCCTTTGATCTTTGGTCCAGCCCGTGATGTTGACCATGGCCCATCCCGGTCACTCTCCAACCCTGCTGAGTGTCAGGGGCAACCCTGGGGCTCAGTGTTGGTGTCAAACAGGTCTCAGCATCCACTTCAGCCTGGCATGGGTGTGGTGCTGGGAACTGTATGATCATCGTTTGAATTTACTAGTTTATGGGGTGAGAGGGTTGAGCTATTCCTGGGGGTGCTCAGGGCTTTCTCCCGACTCTGTGCTCAGGGATCCTGCCCAGCAGGGCTTGGAGAGGAGAGTACATAGTGCTGGGCAGGGAATCAGGGTGGGCCATGTGCAAGGAGAGCACCTGATTCCTGGCACTGTTTTTTCCATCCTGGAACCAGTATTTTAAAAACAGTATCTTAATCATTTTAGTCTTTCTCCAGAAAATGGCTTCTGTGAACCACATCAACTATCAGCAAGAAGGGTAAGGGAGGTCGGGAAGAAAATTTTCAAATAGACAAATCTGTAGATTTTCATAAGTACGTCTCTGTCTGCACTTCGCTCTGTCTGTCTCGCTGGCTTGACACCTTTATGTTCATTCTACTGGTATCCACTGCTAGTAACTGAAAATTGGAACTTCTGATTATCAGTTAATTCATTGTGTTGATTTCTTAATGCTCTTGGGAACAACAACATGGGTTTAGTGAAAATCAAGTTTCTGGGGGATTTTCTATTTTTTTTAATTTCTTATGATTTTTTAAAACTTTTTTTATTGAATCACTGTGAGATAGACCCTTACAAAGCTGTTCATGATTAGATTTCAGTCATTCAGTGTTCCAACACCCATCCCTCCACCACTGTACATTTCCTAGCACCAGTGTCCACAGGCTCCCTCCCATCACCCTCCACCTCCCCTACCCCCTGCCTGCCTCTATGGCAGGCACTTTCTTTCTTTCTTTCTTTCTTTCTTTCTTTCTTTCCTTCCTTCCTTCCTTCCTTCCTTCCTTCATTCCTTTCTTCCTCTCTTTCCTCTCTCTCTCTTTCTCCTTCTCTCCTTTTGGCATTGTGGGTTGCAATATTGATACTGAAAGATTATCAAGAATATCCCTTTACCTACTTTTAACACTCAAATCTTGTCCAGTGTGATCACTCCCAGCTATTATTGTCATATTGGTCTCTTCTCTGTCTTACCTACCCTCTCCCCTACCCTAACACACTTGTGGTTAGTTCTGACCACTGACCAGTCCTCCTAGTTCTTATTTTCCCTCTGACCATGGATATTATGTCTACTATATATTTTTTATGTACCACAAATGAATGCAGTCATTCTATATCTGTCCCTTTCTTTCTGACTCCTTTCACTCAACATGATACTCTCCATGTCTATCCATCTATAAACCAATTTCATGGCTTCATTTTTCCTAACAACGGCATAGTATTCCATTGTGTAGATGTGGCGTAGTTTCTTTATCCATTCATCTGTTCTTGGGTGCTCAGATTGTTTCCAGATTCTGGCTATGGTGAATACTGCTGCAGTGAACATCGGAGTGCAGAAGGTGTTTCTGCTGTGTGTTTGTGGACCCATCAAGTGCTGTGCATTCTGTCTCTCACTGTGACTACAGCTGTACTTTGGGGCTCTCTGCTGAAAATCATTCTCTGTAAGCTTAGTAAAACTCCACAGCAGGCATCGTTTAGAAAGAACCACAACGAGGTTGTCTTGTTTGAATATAGGGCCCCCAAACAACAACTAGTTGTTTTGTTTTGATCACCCAGAAGCCTTGTAGCACCTTCTTTACTTTCATGCACTTCTCTGTTTTCTGTTCTTTTCTGACAAAGCCTTCCCAAATCCTTTGATTCGAGGAAATTATAGGGTCATTCCAACATCTGTTCATTTTGTTCCACAAGTAGAACCACTAGAGAGAGGGTACAGGGGTAAACACTTGCTTTGTACACACCCCACCCTGGTCCGGTCCCCAGCATTGCATATGGTCCCCTAATCCAGGAGCAATTCCTCACCACAGAGCCAAGAGTAACCCCTGAGCATCACTTATGTGACCCCCATTAAAAAAAAAAAGAGAAGAAGGACCAGGAGCTAATCAGCTCAGTTCATCGGCTAGCCAGTCACACAAGTATGCTGTGTGGGTTATGGTGGCGGCTGGGATGATGCCGTTCCGGGGTGAGTAACCCACTGGAGTTTCACCCTTCATGAAACCAGTGGGAGAATGTTGTTTCATGACATGTCCATTTACAAAGGGGACTGTGAGTGTTTATTGTCAGTGAACATTGTTTGGAAATCAACAGGAGAAACCCATAAACAAATTAAGGAAACTTTTGAGGAGGATGAAAATTCCAGACATTTCATGCATCTGAGTAGGCGGTGCTTTTGATGGTGTTATTTTTATTCACAGACATGGCCCGGACAAGGCTGGAAGGGGCTGAGCATGTCTGCCCTGGTGAGAGGCTTCCAGACGGTTCATTCCCTTTGAGACTGTTTCAGCAGTCATCAGCACATATTACTGAATGTTCCTTCATTGTACATCCAGCAACGGATGATTGAGTTTTACATCAGAATGTAGCTATGTTAATTCTACTACCAATGTGAGGATTATGTGGCTTCCTGAAAACAAAGTTTAAAACTTAAGTAAATATATTCAGATGGGTTTGAAAAATAATACAATATATAGAATCTCTGTATGAAATATAGCATTACCTTTTAAAATATTATATTATTATTTTGTTTTGGGGCCACATGTTGTGGTGCTCAGGAATTACTCCTGACTCCGTGTTTATAAATCATTCCTCACAGTGCTCAGGGGACCATATGGGATCTTTTTTTTTTCTTTTTTGGGTCACACCCAGCGATGCACAGGGGTTACTCCTGGCTCTGCATTCCAGAATCACTCCTGGCGATGCTCAGTTGACCTTATGGGATGCTGGAAAGTGAACCCAGGTCAGCCACGTGCAGGGCAAACTCCCTGCCGGTTGTACTATCACTCTGGCCACCCCATATGGGGTGTTGGGGATCAAACTAGGGTCAACTGCATCCAAGACAAATGCCTAAGTCACTGTGAAATCTCTCTGACCCCATGACCTTGCCTTTTGGTTGTTATTATAAAATAATGCAACTGAAAATAAAGTACCTTAGGTAACAAAATTTGTAATACATTTTCTATTGTTGTTGAAAGGAACACTTGTATTTAAGACCAACTAAAATCAGTAATATCATGGTTGTTTCTAAGTGGTTGTTTCTCAGTAAGAACTGTAATGTAGAAATAATCTAGTCCTTATCCAATTACTGGATAATAATAAAATAAAATCAATGTTTTTTTTTATTTTAGAAAATTACTTTTTAAAACAAAGAACATGAACATCTCCTGTTTTCTTGGTTTGATGTAGACATGAAAATTGACTGCAGTGAAATGTTGATTTTCCTTGTGGTTGTTAGTTGACGTATTGTGGAAAATCCATTCTGAAAACAGTATAGAAAATTGCACTACGATTTGAAATGTCATTAACAATAAGTGCTTCAGTAACACTTTTAAAAGACTGATCCAAATATAAATGATTTTTTTTAAATTAAAAGACTGATCGTTTCCGTTAAGAGGAATTGTTTCTCCCTGAAAATGGCCCCTATTTAAGTGAAAGAGAGAGAAATATTTTAGTTGACTGTTCTAATATGGAGAAAATCAAATTGTGAGAGAATCTTTGGCCTGAATTTTCACCCCATTTATACTTTAATTGATACAAATGATTATTTAGATGTGAAATGGAAATTTTCAGATGGAAGAACATGTTACCTCTCTCACACAGGGGATTCAAGAACTCCGAGAAGAGTTCTGTAGGAATGGAAGTTTGTGCCCATGGAGAACTTTTCTAGAAGTCGCTGGAAATCATGGACTTGGAGGGCAGTGGCTTAATTGTAGAATGATGTAACCAGAGCCTGGGGCACGGCTCGGTGATAGAAGCTTCTGCCTTCCATGGGTGAGGCCCCAAATTCCTGGCATAGCCCGTCATCCCACCTCCCCAAAATGTCAGTAGGGAAATAAGGCATGTCTTAATTCTTTTTTTTTTAAATTTTTTTTTTTTAGTCACTGTTGGATACAGAGTTACAAAGCTGTTCATGGTCAAGTTCAGTCATACAGTGTTCCAACACTCATCCCTCCACCAGTGTACATTTCCCACCACCAATGTCCCCCAGTTTCCCTACCTCTACCTTCCCCCTTGCCTGTCTCTATGGAAGGCGCTCTCTCTCTCTCTCTCTCTCTCTCTCTCTCTCTCTCTCTCTCTCTCTCTCTCTCTCATAGCACAGGTACTGAGGGGTTATCATGCTTATTCCTTTACTTGTTTTCAGCATGCAGTTCTTACCCTGAGTGATCATTTCCTCATTTCCATCTGTCTTTGTCATGGTGGTCGCTTCTCTATCCCAACTGCTTTCTCCTCCAGCACTTGAGGCAGGCTTCCAACTGTGGACCATTCCTCCTGGTCCTTGTTTCTACTGTCCTTGGGTATTGGTTTCATATTATGTTTTTTTTTTTATGTCCCACAAAAGAGTCCAATCATTTGGTGTCTGTGCCTCTCCTTCTAACTCATTTCAGGCCCTGCATTTTATTTTATTTTATTTTATTTTTGCTTTTTGGATCATACCCAGCGATGCACAGGGGTTACTCCTGGCTCATGCACTCAGGAATTATTCTTGGCAGTGCTCGGGGGACCATATGGGATGCTGGGAATTGAACCTGGGTCAGCTGCGTACAAGGCAAATGCCCGACCCGCTGTGCTATCGCTCCAGCCCCCGGGTCCTACATTTTAATGGGAAGTGACTTGGGGATGGAGTGGAGGACCTATCTCAAAACACACATGAGCTGCTTTGCTTTACAGCTACAGAATGAAGGCTCAGAAGGAGGGGGAACATATGATTATTTGAGTGATAATATAGGCTGGGGACTCCATGGCATGGTTTACTCCACTATTCACTAGAATATTAGGGCAGAGGCTTTTGATATAAAATGGTTCTCCAAAAAAAAAATCTGTTAAATATATAAATGCTAGAAGTTCCAAAGAGACTATTTAAGTTTCTATTATGCTCTTTGCCCTAGAAGTGAGACTCCCAGGTACTGACGAGGGGACGCCCTCCCAGCCCCCCTCCCCGCACCCCTTATGTCTCTGTTCTTGTATTCCTCCTTCATTTGCAACTGCACTTAGGTTTCACACAGTGAGGACTTGAGTCCTGGCCACTCTGCATCTTCCATCCAAGCAGCCAATTCATGGGGCTGCAGAAAGGGTGAAGCTGCTGCCAATCTAGCATTTAGAGCAGGATTTCCCCGAGTGGAGGGGTAACACCCGCCCCAGTGGGGTCGGGGGTGTGCAAGCCATCCGTAGGTTGGTAGTGGCCTTTGGTGAAGTGGTGGGTTACTTCCTGTTTGTGCATGAAAAGATCTCTAGAGAGCTGAGAGTTTGTTTCGGAAAAGGAAGTCAGAGGAATCTGGGGTAAAGGAAGTCCTGGGAATCATAGTCATTGGGAACTCTGTGATGAGAGAAAACTCCCCCACAATAGTAGACTGTTTTTAAATGCTGGAGAAAATGATTCTGAACTCAATTCCTGCAAATCTGCACTTTTTTTTTACAGTGATGTGATATTTTATTGATGGAACTATAGATGACTTCTTCCATGGTTCTAAAGTAGAAGACGTAGTTGGTGGTTGATTAATTATTTAAGTGGCTAAAAAGATTTCACAGGAGTCCAGATGGGTTTGAAATGAGTGTTGTTCCCAAGTTTATTAGCTGAGTTATTTTAGAGTCCCTTCATAATATAAATACCCAATATAGAAACCGGGATTTGCTCAAAGTGTTGATTAACTTAGAGGGGATGTTTCGGATGGCAGTTTGGGGTGGGTTCTGGCGGAGAACTCTGTGCGTGCCCGTGGGATCTTCCAAGGACACAAGTGAGATGCCAGAGGGTGCATTGCGTTTCCTTCATCAAATGTCCCCCTGTGTCCCATCCCTTCACAGAGCGGCCTCACTCCCCTCCACCTTGCAGCCCAGGAAGATAAAGTGAACGTCGCGGACATCCTGACCAAACACGGGGCTGACCAGGACGCACACACCAAGGTAATAATCATTGTCAGTCACGAGGCAGGCTCTGGTTTGGATGATTCTCCTCATTCAGGCCATGGCAATTCCATCCCTCCTCCTGGAGACTCCCTAGATTTTGACCTGTTCCTGGTCACAAATCCATCACGATGTGGTGACATCATTTTTGCTGGAACGGGGTACATGTGAATTAGTGGGCTATCAACCCCCTTTATACAAAGATCCCAATTTTACAGGTTTCCTTCCCTGTCACTTCAGTAAGTTACAGGAACTTGCCTTTATTTTCTAGAACTAACTTACTGCCATGCCCTTGGTCTGGAAACAGATCTCCCCCTCCCCCCCAGGCCATTCAGATTTTCAAATCCAGCTTCAAGTCCAATATCTCTCATGCATCTATGATCAACGCTTTGATTTTATCCTTATTTGTAGCCCCACGATGATTGTATGTTCTGCAAGGTCATGTGTGTACCGTGACATAGAACTTCAGTCATCCTCTCCACATCCTTCCTTACTCCTCTTCTCTTTAGTAGAAATGTGAGCAGTGACTTATTTGGTTTTTTTTTTCCTACTTCTAGCTTGGTTACACCCCTTTAATTGTGGCCTGTCACTATGGAAATGTGAAAATGGTCAACTTTCTCCTGAAGCAAGGAGCAAATGTTAATGCAAAAACCAAGGTAAGAAGTTTTCGAAGTCATCTTTTTATTTTTTTCAGAAGCAGAAACAAACTCCTGTCGCTCCATGAGCATATTTAGAACTGAATTCAAGATAAAGTTACCGTTAAGTTGAAAATAATACTATTAGCATTTGAGATTCAAACTTCTAATTGTAGCAAGAATCGTAGTGCGTTTTTGGGCCAATCTTGAGTTCTCTTGTTCTGTTGTGTTTCCAGGCTTATTTTGAAGCTCTAACATGAGTTTTTAGACATTAACTCCAAATAATTTTTTTATCAAGTCAACTCATAAAGGAGCATTATGGGGAACTGTTCTTATAGGAATACAAGTATCCTGAAAGGCATAAATGCAAGATTGCATTTGGCAAAACTGAAAGATGTCTACCATCTATTTTTTATTAAAGGATTACTGAAATGCCTATACTATTTAAAAGCCAGACATTGTGTTGGTAACTTGAGTAAGCTCTTCCAAGTTTTCATCTGTATTCAAATAGCTATTTGGTTAAGAGAACAATCTCATTTTAACTTTGCAGGTTTTAGAAAGTGAACTGTTTTGGGTGCTGCACTTCTTCAGGAAATTATGGATAGAAACATACTTGAAAGTCTGTTCTTTTAATAAACACTTTCCCCCCACATAGGATGGTTTTTGGGGAGAAAGAATTGTGTTTTCTTTCTCACATGTCAGTGTAACCATAGTTACCAAAATTTTGTTTTGTTGCTATGAAATTGTATTGCTCTTATTCCTCAAACATTCATGACTTACTGTTAAAAAAAATTGGAAAAGCAAATTAGTTTTATGGGACTATTGGTTGCTTTAAATTAGAATGAGACTCGGTAACATCAACTTGAGACAAACCAGATTTGGTTAGTTATATGTTTCATTTGCAAAGAGGGCTTAGCACTTCAACATGCAAAAGGAAATTTTCTTTTTCTTCCCTTTTACTTTTCTTGAGGGATTTGGCCATATCTGGAAGTGTTTAGGGTCTATTCCAGGCTCTGTGTTCAGGGGTCATTCTTGGTGGTGCTCAAGGGACCGTATGAGGTGCCAGGGATTGAATCGGGTCATTTATGTACAAGACAAGTGCTTTAACTCCTAGGTTATATCTGTGGCTCCAAAAGAAATTTTCTTTATAAAATATATTATAAAATCAAGGATATCTGCTATGAGATTAAAGAAGTTTGCTAGCGTTTTCATATAACTTTGGATAAACTTTAAAAAAAACTCATCAGCAGTGTGCTTCCTCCTTCATCAAACAGGGACTCGGTCATTTTCCATTTTATCCCTGAGAAGTTGTGTAATAGAGGAATATGGGAAATTCTAATAGTTAAGTCTAGAACACTTAGCCAAAGATTAAGCTTCAACTGAATAGTCTTGTAAAAAAAGTTGTTGGGTTTCTCTAGAATTGAGTGAGTAATATCCTTTGGACCCCAAGGGTTCAGGAAAGGGTCAGATTAAGCAGGGGGCGGCGGAATGGGGGGAGTTGAGGGGGACATTTCCCTAGTCATTCTGATGACTCAGTATAATGTGTGATTAAGGGCAGTCATATTACTTTGGCTTTAGTAATATATATAAGAACAGTGCCTCCAATTTAGCACATAGCATGTGGTTAGTAAATGCTTGCTGAGCATATCAACTTTAGCTGGTTTTGAAGAGCTGAATCAACTTGATTCTGTTGGAAGCAAAATGGAAAGGAAGAATTTTTTAATTTTTATTTTGTCTTTGAAAAACATGACTTCCCAAGGCCTGGAGCAGACAGTCCGTGGGCAGCGTGCCTTGCCCATGGCTGCCCCAGCTGCGGTGTCAACAGCTGCATTCCTCACCAGGAATGATTGTTGAGTGCAGACCCAGGAGTCAGCCCTGAGCACCCGGCAAGACACAACTAAATTTCCATTAGCGAATCATATCTCAGAACTTCAGGGGTGCTGAGCACAAAGCCAGAGAGAGCCCCAGAGCACCCCTAGTTGTGGCCTAATAACCCTCCCCACCAACAAAAAGAACTATTCTACCCACCGAAGAATATCATTGATTTGCTGCTTCCCCAAGGCCCATGGACTACCTGATTTGAGATCAGGGTTCCCCCTCTAGGTTTCTGGAGCCCCTGAAATGGACTCACGTGACCCAGGTTCCCCGGCTCCTTCCCAGCAGGGATGCTGGGTAACCATGGCCACGCAGGGGATGCTCAGACAGGCTGTCAGGTGCAGGGGACACTCTCGCCCCCAGCTCTGCCCCCATGGGTGAAAATGCCACTCATAGAGGGGCTCTGGGGGTCCCTCATGGAGACAGAAGGAGCAGATAGTGACGTGACACTTATCAAAAGCCCCTATTAAGCTAAGGGCTGTTTCAAATGTAGCACCCAGGACAATCACGTTGAAAGACAGATAGCCGTAACAGGGGGAGGCAGAGAGAAGACAGATATGACTTGTCTGTTCTTGGTTTTGTGCTACTCTGACAGAGGCTGAGACCTGGAAGGATGGGGGGAAAATCTCCTTATTTTCAGTGGCATCATTCATTCATTCATTCATTCATTCACTGGCTCCCTCGTTCATTCGGACACCCGTTATTCTGGCCCACCTTGGCCTTCGCTTTGATAGTAAAGATCCCAGAGACACTAGAGAAAGTTCCTGGCTCTGGTGCCAGATGAGGGCGCAGTCTGGAAGTTTCCCCAGCAAGGATGACTCAAGGCAGCCTGGGCTGGAGTTCTGAGCCAGACTGGGGTCTCCCTGCCCCCGACTCTTCCTGCCTCTCAGCAATGCAGAAAGGCGACTCCTTCCTAGGAGGCCAGCTGGGGCCAGAAGGTGGCAAATGACCTATTTTTTGCTGCACTTTGTTCTCTGGCTGTCTGCTGCCTTCTCCTCACTGAGCTATAGGACCCAGGCTATTCTCTGGGAATTGAAGTTTTAGATTTCCTTGGGTTGGCCTGGAACCTCTAAAGCCACCAGCCAAGCTTGCTGGCCAAGAAAGTCGGGAGCCACTGAAGAGCTTTGTAGGGTCTCCGTAGCCTCAGACCCTCCCCAACCCCCAGGAGCTCGGGTTCCAGACTCTCCTCCCTATCCTGCACCCAGCTATCATTGTTGCTCATTGCCCGGGAGCCTGGTAAAGGTAAAACTCATCTCTCCTCGCCGGGTTTCGCAGGCCAGACGGTGTGAGGGAGGGTTTGCTGCCTAGACCAGGGCCCCTCGACGCCCCCAAAATAAAACAAGGTGGGCGCGCAGGTTTGTGCTGTCAGGAGCGCCCCAGCGGCTCCACACGATGCCTAACCTAGTTTTCCCGGCTCTTCTTCCTACTCCGCCTCCCCTGCGTGGCGTGGCCGGGCGCCCCCCACTCCAGAACGGCTACACCCCTCTGCACCAGGCGGCCCAACAGGGACACACGCATATCATCAATGTCCTGCTGCAGCACGGCGCCAAGCCCAACGCCACCACTGCGGTAAGTCCCGGGGACGGGAGGGGGACCCCACTCCATCGCCCCCCCAGCTCCCGGGGTTTGGAAAGCCTGGATTGGATTTTTTTTTTTAATTTTATTTTTGTAAAGCTTTGCTTCCAGGCGGGTGGGGGTGGGGGCATGACTCAGCTCTCTCTCTCTCTCTGGGGATGAGGGGCCCTGCACCCCGGCTGCTGGAACATTCGCTCTGCGCACAGCTGGAGCTCAGATGCGAGAGCCAGGCCCTCCCCGCCGCGCCCCCGCTTCCTCCCAGCCTTTCTGCGGGGAGACCCGTTTCCCAGGCTGCCGGCTTCCCCAGAGGCGGCACTGCAGGGGCCAGGCCGGGCCATTGACATGCAAACGACCACGAGGGCCCAGCGGCTGCACCTCGACTGCAAACTGCGCCCCGCGCTCCAGGCTCTGTGCGCGCCCTGCTAAAGGCGCACGGCGCATCGCATCGTGTCCCCCAAGGTCCCGTGCCCCTGTCCCCCGAGGTAGGGAGGGGGACTTGGCATTAATTAGTGGGTTATTTTTCCCCTTTCCTTTTGGAGATACCCTCTCCCCCCCCTCCCCCAGGGTTCCCCTCTGGCAGTGCCCGGGGCTCGGCGGCGGGCTCGGGCCAAGCTGCGGAGGGTTAAAGCGCCGACGGCTGCTCGGAGCTCGCGCCGGCAGCTGCACGCTTGTTGTGTTGCCATGGGGACCCGGGCTGGGCGCGAGCGAAGTTACAAAGACAGACTCCCGGGCGAGGTGCAGAGGCGCGCGGCTCCCCCCCGTTCGCCGCCTCAGCCGCGGCCTCTCCTCCCCCGCTGCAGAATGGGAACACGGCCCTGGCCATCGCTAAGCGCCTGGGCTACATCTCCGTGGTAGACACGCTGAAGGTGGTGACGGAGGAGGTGACCACGACCACCACGGTGAGTTCCCCCGCACACCCCTGGACGGAGGGTTGCAAAGTCCAACTTTGGTTTTAGGGCCCGGGAGTCTCTCTGCCCGGGTCCGGGAAAGCCAGGAGGGAGCGACCCCTACCCCCACTACCCACTTTCAGGAAAATCAGCCTGTGGAATATTCGAGCGTTTTCTGCCCTTTTCCTGGTTTTTTTTTCTCTTTGCTTCCGTTCTCTTGCTTCAGTTGGGGGTGGGTGAGGGGTGACACCCGCTTGGCCGACTTGACACATCTCAGAAGATGCTGGCCTCTGGGGGGACCCCCTTCCTACCCCAAATCCCCACGCCCAGAGCAGATGGTGACAGAAAGAAAGATTCTTCAGGAAGAAATCAGAATCGCACATCCTTTCGGGAGGGAAAAAAAAAATCTCCCCCTTCCCCTATTTTGTTTGTTTGTTTGTTTGTTTTGGGTTTTTTGGTTTTGTTTTGTTTCTGAGTTGTCATGTTCTGGAGAAGCTGCTGAGTCTTTTAGGCGAGACTAGGGTCGTTGTGATGAGTCTTCAGCACACGGAGGCTGGAATGAGTCGCTCTGGGCTGACTCAATTGGAACCTAGTTTATAAGGAGGCCCCGGATAGGGGAGAGAGAGAGAGGGGGGAGCCTTTGTGCTGGGCATTTAGTTATTATTATCATTATTTTCCTGCCTAAAGCAGGAAAACAGTGTTTGATTCCTCTTTGTAAAGGTAGGAAAGTCTCAGTGCCTTGGAATAGGGGCAGCTGTTCAGTGACAGCGCAACCCCAAATCTGTCTCCTAAAACTAGCCAAGGAGACACGAGTCGATGGCCCCTACATAGAAATGAGGCTTATGGTGTTTTACAGTGTTGGGTTCCTTTGATGGTGTGTGTGTGTGTGTGTGTGTGTGTGTGTGTGTGTGTATGTGTGTATGTGTGTGTGTGTGTGTGTGTGTGTGTGTGTGTTTGGGGAAGGGTGTGGAGAGCTGGATTTGGTCCTTGAAGCTGATAGCAAGTTCCTGCTGATTGGCAGTGAGGCAAATGAAATAATCGGCTGCATATGAAGTTTGACATCGAAAAGAGTGTGGGGATGATTTATTAATGAACGGTTGGGGCTGGGCTTAAGTGGGAGAAAAGGACACCATTTGCCTTCTCAAGCAGAAGCGTAGAAATGCTGGTAGCCAACACGCCCCATTTTTTTTTTAAGATGTAAAGTAAAGCTCCCATAAGTCACAAGGGAGGAAGGCGAGTGGAGTTCCACGCTGGCCCTCGGAGTCACTCCCTCTCGTGGCTGGTCTTCGGGGAGTTTTCTTGTTCTGTGATTTCAGGAAACTCCTCACACTGGGGACCGGGGTGTATAGGGGCTTATTTGGCGTCTTTGAAACCACGTGTCCAGGGTTTCCAAGGGAAGCATGAGTGGCGAGAGTAACCAACGTGATCTTGGGAGCTGTGGGAAGTCTGAGCCTGGTCCTCGCGGGCGCGTTTTATCAGAGTGAGCACTAGGTGGCGAGCGCGCCCTGCCCGCCCTCCCCCCACCCCCCCCCACCCCCGCCCCCTTCACGTCTCTGCCTCGTTTTCTATTTTCATTTTGGGAATAAATCCCCTCACTCTGTAGACTAAATTATGTGTGGGATTCTGTGCTTGGAGGTCTTAGTGTGAAAGCATCGCTCCTCCCCACTCACCAGGTATGGGGGGGCGGGGATGGAGAATGAAATGTAGGTTTTTGTAAGTCAATAGGTTCTATAACACCGACAAAAACAAGAACTTGTGAGTTCAGATTCAAAGTGACATCAGGCTCATAAACGGTGTTCCAAGTACTGCACCGACCACCTCTGTTTTAAAGCAGGAAGCCGTAGTTTTTAAAACATACTGTCTAAACAAGTTCTCAGATGCTTGAGAACCAAACCAAAACCAGGCCTTCCATTTGATTCCACCTTATTACTGGTTCTACAAGTTGATACAAAAAAGTTTTCAAACACTCTGAGCTGTTATTTCCTGCTGTCTGGTCTCCCGGCTAAAAGGGCTGCGGAGAAACTTAGACATCGAGCTTTTAGGTGAAAAGGCAGACAAATGTCAAGGTTCCTAGTGTTTTGGCTTTCAGTTGGGATGCGAAATAACATCATCTCTGTTAACCAAGTCCCCCCTTTATCCAAGTAGGGGAGGCATTGAGTGGTTCTAGACTTGGATGATACTCTGTCTTTTGAGGCTTCTCTTAGAATTGGATTTTTCTCCCAGGAATGGAATTTTATCTCTATACTTTCTCCCTTTGACATCTTTGTCATTCTCCACCTAAGGGTGCTATTAATTATATTAAAATGAATTAATTCTATTAATGACACACCTGCCAAGCATGGAGAGCATATTCATATTTAGGTTTCCACTTCTAAAATCCGTATTTTTATCCCCTCTGGCATCACTACTTTGCGGAAAATTCTAACAGGAATTTTTGCTAAAGCAATGCTGTCATTCAGTTTTCTATTAAAACCTCACTTCTTGGCGAATGTCTACAAAAAAAACCACCAAAACACTGATCAGACAAAATATGTGCAACCCTACACCCATTGCCGCTCTTAGTGCTATAGCCAGGGTGCAGAAACACCCCAAATGTCCCAGGGCAGACGGGTGGGTGAAAAAGCTTTGGCATATCTACATGATGCAATGTTATGCAGCTATAAGGAAGGATGAAATCCTGCAGTTGTGTGCAGCTGTGTGGAACTCAAGGTCATCATTGTCGAGCAAAGGAAACCTGAGAGAGAAGCATTAAATAATTTCACTCAGCTGTGCTGTTTAGGGGGAAAAAAACCCAAGAATATACATACTCTTTTCTGGTAATAGACCTTCCTGAGCACCAGATTTGGGGGAGGAGCTAGATGGGATGTGACTCAGGGACTTGGGGGTAGGGGGCCTTGTGGGCACTTTGGCGGGTAATGATGTATATTAAGACCATAAATGTTAACTATCATGGTTTTTTTTTTAAATTATTACCCTTCTTGATTTTTGTAGAAGCTTCCAGTTCAATATCCCTTTCTAATGTCTACAGTCTTACCAAAAATCATTTGGAGTTACTCATTGATGACAGGAAAACATCTTAAGAGACAACTCAATAGTAGCATGAAACTAATCAAGCTTATTACCATTTCAGTGTAAGGAGAGAATTAGACTTTTAGTGGGGAGCTTAGTGGAGTACAGACAAATGTTGATTTTAAATGTGAGAAATAAATGACGGGCTGGTGCAACGTACAGCAGGTAGGGCGCTTACCTTGCATGCAGCCAACCCAAATTCCATCCCTAGCACCCCATAGGTTACCCGCAAAGGCAGGTATAAAGGCAGGTATAAGCCCTGAGCATTGCCTGATGTCCCCCCTTCCCCCACACACAAAAAAAACCCAAACAAAAATAAAACAATAAATGTTGCACCAGGGAAAATGAGATGACACAGAGAGTTAAAATAAAAACTGCAAGCCGAGGTGTCTTAAAGAATGTGGGCTGGAGAGATAGCAGAGCGGGTAGGGCGTTTTCCTTGCACGCAGTTGACCCGGGTTCGATTCCCAGCATCCCATAGAGTCCCACGAGCACCGCCAGGAGTAATTCCTGAGTGCAGAGCCAGGAGTAATCCCTGTGCATCTCCTGATGTAACCCCCGACCCTCCCCCTCCAAAAAAAAGAAAATACACATGCGCAGAAGTCCAAGACCCAGCCAAGGACTGGAGAGAGTGCAGAGGTCAAGATACTTGCCTGGCTTGTGGTCAACCCTGGTTCTCATCCCAGCACCCCAGAAGGTCCCGCCCCCACCCCCAGTACCTGTTACTACCAGGAGTCACCCCGGAATATGAATCTAGGAGTAAATCCTGAGCACTGTTGCGTGTGCCCCCAAACCAAAGAAACCAGACAGCAAACAGACCTACCAAAATCACACAAATCAGTGTCCTGATTGAATTGCAGACTGACAGACGGACTCTGTCCTCCGGGGTTCATGTGAGCAGGGCTGTGCTCAGTCTTTCTGCACAGCCTTGACCCAGAATGAATGAGCCCATTGTGTAACGGGAAAGGGAGCCTGCAGTGAGTGAGGAAGTTTCTGGGACTCAGTGGAATCGCGGTTTGTTTCGCTAACCTTTACTGCTCTAACTTGGCTGTGGGGAGACTCTGGTGTTGGGGTGGACATGACTCCTCACTCTCCGGGATGAACAGTGTGGTCTGTTTCCCAGATGGGCCCTTAGGTCAGACCCACTTCCCCACCTGCTGCTCCCCGACTAGCCGAACTGTAGGAAACCAGCCTCCCTTGTGGGGTTGGTGGTCTCATTTTTTTTTCTTTTTGGGTCACACCCGGCGATGCACAGGGGTTACTCCTGGCTCTGCACTCAGGAATTACTCCTGGCGGTGCTTGGGAGACTGGGGTGATGGGATGCTGGGAATCGAACCTGGGTTGGGGGACCATATGGGATGCTGGGAATCGAACCTGGGTCTGCTGTGTGCAAGATAAATGCCTTACCCGCTATGCTATTGCTCCAGCCCCCGGCCTCTTTTTTTTTTTTCTTAATTGAATCACCACGAGAGCAATTACAAAGCTTTCCAATTTAAGTCTCGGTCATACAATGATCAAACACCCATCCCTTCACCAGTGCACATTTTCCACCACCAAGAACCCCAGTATACCCCCGATCCCACCACTCCCCCTGCATGTGTAACAGATGATTTCCACTTTACTCTCTCTCCACTTTGGTCACATTCAATATTTTGACAAAAGACCCACCATTATTATTTGGAATTTTCCCCAACATTCAGACCTGCTGAAAAGACATCATTAGATAAGTTGTTTTCTATTGCCGGTTATGAAGACCTGGCCTCATTTTTAAGTGCATTTTGTGGTGCCCGTTCTCATGGACGGGTTGAGCATCAGGGGCTGCAGAAAAGAGAGAAGAAATGATAGTGAGTTAATGCTATCTTGAACACTCGGGGCATCCTTTGACTACATGGAGGGAGAGAGACAGACAGAGACAGACATAGAGAGAGAGGAGAGGGGAAGAA